AAATACACGTGATGTTTGCTGGGGAAGGAGGGATAATTTTGAATATCACCGTGTATCACCAAGGGGGAGGGGGGATCCAAAAATCATTAACAACGCTCACGTGATTAATAGTCGCCCCCTAATCAGTTCTAAGCATGAAAGTTCAAAAACTGTCCGAAAAAAAACTTTTCCAACAGCCAAATAAAATCTGTGAATAAATATCTAAACAAGAATTCTAGTTAAAGCATATATTTTTCAAATATAAGCCGTAAGATCTTGAAGAATAGAATGACATGGACTCGAAATAGTTTTTGGAATTTATTCGAAGTGATTGAAAATGTATTGTTAATTTAAGCCGTTATAATCAAATAATTTAATAATTATTCTAAACATAATTTATAATTATATATTGCATTGCCTATTGAAGAAGAAACATAAAGTAATAATTTTCTCAAAACAAATAATAAAAAAGTAAAATCCTAATGTGTTGAAGGCGTAGACCTTATACAAGTATATTATAAGGTCTATAGTAGAAGGTCTCAATAATGTAAGTGTTATAAAAGTTGAAATTTTATTTTTAATCGATCATAAGATGATTTTTATATTGATAACTTGTATTTTGTAATTTAAATAGTCATTTAAATATAAATATTGTTAAAAAAACTATCCATATTCAAAATTGATATAATCAAATTTTATTATTAATGTGCATTTTATATTAATGTGTTAGAAATATATTAACGTTTAGAGCAATTTTAAGTAAATACCAAAGATTAACAATTACCAAATAATTTAAAATGTAATATTATATTTATCATGAAGCAGTAAAATTAAACTTGTTCATTTGTGTCCACAGATATTGGCCTAACTGTGGACTTAAATGCACAACTAAAAAAACGTTGTAAATTATCTGTGTTAAATTGCCAAAAAATATATATAATATAAGTCTTTAATCATACACAATCTACTAAAATTTGCATGTCAAATTCTGAGTGTGAGAGAATGAAATCTTTGCGAATGTTTTATATCACTAAATGAAAGAAGGAGCCTAAACCAAATCGTATATGAAAAATTATTAGAAGGATAAATATTTTATATTTAATAAGTTATGATTTAGTTAATTAAGATGCGAATAAAAATAATGTGATGAAATTGAATAATTCAATTGAAGCTTTCGTATACTAACGACTTAATAACTACCAGCAAAGAAAAGATATTTTATAAGGCTCTAATAGCATCGAGTATGTATCAATGTATATTCCGTAAAAAAAAGCTTAATTCAATTACACCGTATCAGTTAAGTAATTCTGATGAATCAAAATTTCCAATATGCCATTCGATCCAAAATAGAGAAAAACAGTCGTTTATTATTGTCATTATTTTCTTATACAAAACTAAAAATATCTTTTTAATACATAAACGATATTTAACCATAATCCTGAATATAAAAAGCTCAAATCGTATAAACAAGCTGCGGTATTTCATTCAAATCCTACTATTCAGAATCCCTTTAGCAGATGTTCAGAAAAAATATACAACTTCAGGGATTTGCATACCCCCATTTGAGGACTGTTTTCTCATATATTCCATTTTACATGAGCCAAGCGAACTATGACTTTTGACGTAACTCCACACGTGTTATTTCAGAAATTCAGTTCGCGATTCATAAAGGATAAGAAATGTTCCATAAACAATGTTTTCTAGGAATATTCCGTAAATGAAACAGCAGTGCATACGTTGCTTAAAACAAGTAATAACTTGACAAAAGCTCAACGCCAAAAGTTCCTACCCAAGCTCCACTAAATATTAATACAAAACTTAACTGCAAGTTTATTGTTTTATTCAAAGTCAGTAAAATAACACTAAGTCAGTAAGTACTTATTAAAAAATTATTAAAATTAATTATATAAAGATGATTATACTATGCACCTAAAAAATTGAAATTGATATGGGCTATATGTGTGTACATCGTACAAAATTTAAACTTCTACAAATATTGTAATAATATTAAATAATATTCTAATACAAGAAATTTGAATTACGAACAATTTATGTTCTAGTCCTCAATGTTCATAATAGTACGTAATTACTTTATTGAATTGTATAAAAATAGTGTGCTATAAAATACGTAAGTCATTAACAGAAAAGACTGAAAACTATTTTTTGAATAAAATATATTACTGGGAAAGAATGTAAATATTGATGTATATATTTAAAATTCCTTATAAATTTTTACTTTTTAGGATGATATAAATATTATTAAATGATAAATGTAATGTGTACTATGTGTTATAATTTTATAATCATTTAAATATTATGTATTAAATATTTGGAATAAAAATAATTATGATCAAAGAAAATCTTTTATAAATCGGTTATAAATTGTATGACATATTTTGCTGATACGTTTCATTTACAATACAATGGTGCCCGCCTAAATTATGTCACGTCACATCATTTTTAATAGCAAATGTGCCATTGACAGCTTTTATTTAAAAAAATGCGAATACTTAATAACAGACACGATATATTTTCCTAAATTAGTCACACACACTCATCAATACTCGCATAATCGATCGTTTCAAACCGTCGAAGCAAAAAACCTCGATATTTTTAAATAATGATGAATCGCTTGTAGAAAACTTTGTGAAAATTTTACGCAGTTACGGCATTTGATATGATATATACCCAAATAATTTTCAGACAAAATCCATTATAAAGTTTCACGAATGCTCGTTGAAAATTCGTTTTAGATTTGTTTTCAAAAGAGAGGTGAGCTGAACAAAACGAAATCTCGGAAATGAGTTTACCTACTATTGTGCCGCCAACGAAAGTCAAAACGGGGTGATGGATTGAAACTGTTTGAGTTTTTGTCGTCGACATGTTACAATGGGAGATAAGTTAACCCTTTCTAAATATTGGATTAATGCTAAACCTTTTATCTCGAAATCTTTACTTTTGTCCACGGGTCAGTTCCTTTACCTTTCTCACAAAACAAATGTTATCAAGCACAAAAATAGAATGTGGAAACAGATGATTTAGCTAATGCAGAAAATATTGATAAAATTGAAACAATTATTTATACTTTTTGACGCTTGATATGTATCATCATTCAGCAGGAGAAGAGCTTCAAAATATAACAATGATAAAAACACAATCAATGTCATAAAATTTTAGTATATTAATGCACATGTACATACATACTATTATGGGAGTGCTCTATAATTTTGTGAAAAAAATGTATTTTATCATGTATATTCTGTGAAGTTTTTCTCCTACTAAATGATGGCACATATGAGATAATAAAACGTATAAATTATCCATACTCATTATGATATTATTATACAATATATTATTTCACAACCCATAAAACTGGCGCAGAATTTTGTAATTCGATTAAATAAATCTTTTAGTTTTGATATGTTAATTTTCCAATTTTAGAATCAATTTCCATGTTTTAATTCGATTTTGTACATTTTTCAACGTCTTAATAAATTTCTATGAAGAAGAAGACAATTATCTACATTATTTGAAAAAATTAGCGCTTAAGATGTATTTCCATTTCACAAATAGCCTATCGTTTGTTTAATGTTTGGATTTTAATCTCTCATATATTCGCCGATTTATTTTAATAATATATATGATTATTTTTACGATAATTTCCACTATAAACTTGGCGCAAAGAAATTAATTATTTTCAATTGATATTAAATCGAAGAAAGGGGGCGTCAACCGTTCTCGTCACAATATCAATAATTTGTACATAATTCGCAAATATACAATATAATAACTCAGCCCGGTAATTAAAACGTAAAATTAGCTAAACGCAATTAAGAGATGTATGTATCAATCACTTAAATTCAAACTACAGCCTAGTTTCAATTGTTTACCATTTTCAAATGTATATTTGATATGATCAAATCAGTAATTGATTGCACTCTACCCTATGCCATATTCTGGTTTAATGCAAATAATATAAACATTAAATGAATTGAGTGGTCCAAATTTCGAAACATTAGCAAACAATTGAAATTCATATGGAAATTTATTCCAATATCACACAGTTTTTGGTAAGAAAACTATTTTGTATATACCTATTACGAAATGAAGTTTTATAAAAATACTAATCAAACAAGTTTGTCAGGTATGAATTCATGTTCAGTATTTCCTATATTTCTATAAATATAAATAAATTTTAAAGTCAGAAATTTGAAAAGAGCTATTTAGGATTTCTGCAAAAAATATCTAAATTCAGTGCAAAAATATTGATCAATTATATATGAAGGAATAAAATTAGGTATGGTATAATGTAATAATTTAATAATGGAAATTGGTGTAATGAAACTGATTTGAAGATTTCAAATCTAAATTGAACCACTACATTTCAATACAAACGTATTTAAAATCATTAACAAAGGTTCGAATTTCGAGATGGGTGATGTATTTTATATACAAAAACAGGGTATAGTTAATGAATTTCATCCATTAGGTTAATTAACAATCGGCAATCAGTGGAAGTATTTATGTATTGCGTACGTGTTTATAGAAATACTTACACCAAAAACTATGTAATATTTTATCTATACTCATTGAATATGTAGCTGATTATAGGTATCAAAATTATTTAATAATAGGACGTGAATCAGAAATTATTTCCATTGATTCTATTAATACCATAACATAATATTAAATAGCGTTATTTTTGGAATGTGCGCTTGCAATTAGCTCTTATTAATAAATATCGATACAATTACAACTGTTCAACGACTACTAAATTTAATTGCGTATGGATGTGCAAATGCGGTGAATAATATATATATATATATATATATATATATATATATATATATATATATATAAAGATATTATGCCGTGGTTTGAGTTTTTATATTATCAATTATTATAAAAATTTTGGTATCTCAAAACCGCAATGCAATAACTTTTTGCCAATTATTTATTTTTATAACTTTCCAATGGGCAATATTATATCAATTTATAAACAAATCTTAAAATCGACTTACCGGGCTGGTCGCCATCACTCAAAGGGGGTCCTACATCTCCGAAAAATCTTCGATCCAAAAGCTGCAGAAGTTGGAGAGCAGTATCATGCACTGCAGCACGAGGACAACCAGTACTCAGCAAGGTAACATTTATAACGGCAGTGTAGTGATCACAAGGATATTCACTAATGGAAAAAAATTAAATTAAATTTCATGTCTAAATGAGTAGATAATCTGTAACATCTTTTTTCAATATAAATTTATCATTTTTTTTAAATATGTTCTATTTACAGTCTAACAATAAGTCAACTTGATGAAACCAGAACAAGTTTTTGTTAATGTTATACCAGAGTAATGTATTATTTCGAGAATAATTCTGTCAAATTATATCATTAACAATAAGGTTTGTTGAAACCAATAATAATTTGCTGATTGGTTTTTACCGTGCACTGAATATGGCGGCAAGGGCCATAAAGCATCCATCAGCCACACGAGGCTGTCCAGTGTAACATCTGTCCAAAGCCCAATCCAAAGTGGTCCAATATCTGGATTTGCTTCTAATAATAACACTGCAGTTTCTCGAGCTAGCTGGTATATCTAAAATATGATATTGGATGATTAGGTTTACTCAATTGAAAGTAATATTCATACTTTTCAAAAATTCTATTTAATTTATATCAAAGAATTCATAAGCGATTTTATGTATAAATGTAATTTGTGTCGTGATCAAAATAAATTAACTTCAAGTACTATTTTCATGTAAATTATCATTATTTAAATGAAAATTCTTTAACTTACTTAGAAAAAAATTTGATTCTAATACCATATAATAAAATATGAAGGATATAAATAGTATGTCTTTTACATTGAAACAATATATTTCTATTGTATATTAAAAGCATAAAACTTTATTTCGCTTTGTTTCGTAATAAGATTATGTACTTAAAAACTTCTACGCGAAAGGAAGCCGGTTAAATTATAAATGAGATCCCTCTTTTTGCTGTTTTAAATAGCAATTAATGCCAATTAGCGACAAAAGTTTTTTCAGATAATTTAATTAAGTTCACTAGATTTTTTTTCAGTCATAAATTATTTAATTTGCATTTTGTCGATGAATTGCTTAAACATATAGCATTAAATATTTTTGGGTAATTCTTTAATAAAATTTTGTTCTAAATATTAATATATATTTCATCTTAAGTTTTTAGAAAATAAAATGTTGGAAAGTTCACTGAATACCTTATCATCAGTAGACGACAATAGCATATCCAGCCAAGGGTACAAAGATCCATCTTCAGCTAATGCTAATGGATCGAAACATCCGCCGCAGCACAACAAAGCGCTCATTGCCTGAAATAAAAATAATAAGGTAAAATTACATGAGATTATATTAAAAATTAACTCCATCAAAGTAGAGGCAGTGTATACATAACTGTACGCCAACCTCAAGATTAAATAACGAATTAATTAACAGCATGTGTAATAGAGGCAGAATATTGACAAAATGATAAATATTATCGTATTCTGTAAAAGATATCGTTCGAAAATAACAAAAAAACAAATAAATATCCTATACCTTTTACACATTATCGTTGTTTGCGAAAATCCTATATTTCGAAATATAGGATGCGAATAATGAAAAGGCGTTTATGTTAGTATAATTTTATTGGGATCCAATATCGGTCGACAGCTTTAATATTGATAAGGTCATGGCTAACTAGGGTGGAAGAGACTCTGAACCCTTGGGGTCTCCTATTTACTATTAATTTCCAATGATGGATTTTAAAATAAAATGATCAAATAGTCGATAATATATCAAATATAGTTTTTTTCAAAATTTCATAAAAGAATTTACTGGAAGCGCCGGGTATCGATCCCGGTACCTCTCACATGCTAAGCGAGCGCTCTACCACTTGAGCTACGCCCCTGTGAGTACAAAACAGTTGATTCAATGCAACATGAACAGCAATTCAAAACAAGCATCATATAACAATCCGGTTGGTAAAAGTAGAGCAATCAGTTTATATCCCGAGGCGTCAAATTTCGATTGTTACCTAATATGCATTCACACAATGTATTCATGTGCTACACACAAGTATGAGACAGTTCTTAGAGTACGATAGATATTTAACATTTTTGTATTCAAAAGGTAATCGTCATGTATTCATCATAACATTTGTTTTATTATTATTATAATTCGCATTCGATAATCGAAAAAAATCTTTTTTTTTCCATATCATAAATATATTAATTATAAGTAGCTAGCAAACCCAGCGAACTCCGTTTCGCCACCAGATGGTTTCGTGAGAAAGATAAAATTTTTTTTTTTCTTTTATATTTGAAAAGAAATGAGTAGCTGTCAAACAATGTATCTACCGGCACCATCTACTTAAAATATTGGTTTTTAGTACATGCTAAGTATCAGAGATAACGCTGTATGTGAAAAAGAAAACTGTTTTACGCTTTTCTGTTGAAATTTTTCTTCAATTTTCTTTGCTATAAACCTCACGGAGCCCGAGAACTTGCCAACGAATGCAAATTCGTCGAAATCGGTTGGCGCGTTCTGGAGTTATATCGTCAGGAAGGAAAACCCGACTTATTTTTATATATTTTATATATTCTCTTTAAAATATGCTCATTTCTATTCAGCTTATCATAATACTCATTCGATACTGCAATAATCTAATATCTCTCACAATGCTAGATTTTGCAACAAAAATAAAGATATTGGAAGCGCCGGGTATCGATCCCGGTACCTCTCACATGCTAAGCGAGCGCTCTACCACTTGAGCTACGCCCCCCGTGAAGAAACTTGATGCTTGAAGTAATGCAGACTACCTACTTACTTACATTCACTCTTGGGATCTTTAATCCCAACTATTTATAACTTATAATTGTATTTATAAACTAGCATAATTATTTAAAATAAATAGACAAGGATTTTAATATTAAACTCAGATAGACGCGAGCAGTTTGTTCATAAGAAATTAAAAAAATATCGAACAACAAAAATATGTTTTCTTTAAATTACATTCAAGTCATCTAGAATAAAAACGAAATTATTCCGAAATTTGGACTATTTCAATGATTATTTAATTAGCAATTAAATTATTCACCTTTTTTTCGATTATATAAAAAAAATTAATAAGTGAACAATATAAACTCACCGACTCACAATGAAAACTTTTTTTGAAATATGACAATAAAATGACTATTATTTTTTTATTAATGATTAAAATGAAAAAAACTTAAGTTCTCAATTAGAATTAGAATTATCTTACCTGCAAAGCCGACATTTGTAACTTTTCATCTGCATCTGCAGAGGATGAATGACTTTGAGTGTAGCCTAATGGCTTAGCAAAAGGCCCAGACCACGGTGCAAATAAATTAAAAAGGCCACTTCGTAAATCTCGCTTTAATAAAAGTAGTACAAGTTTCAACTGAAATATGAATATTGGTTCATGATTGTTGTAATTTAGAAATTATCAATTATTAAGTTATGTACACTTACGAGAAAAACTTTTGATCATTTTTCTGATAAAATCACAGAAATGTAATTTTACTTCTTGTTGGGCGGGTGCGTCTTTGTCTTCCTTAGTTTCATTCTCTAGATATAATCTGGCTCCTTCCATATATTCCACGAATGTTGGATGTAGAGACATTGTTTCTCTATCTAGAACACTTGGACTATAACAAAAAAAAAAGCCATTGAAAATAACTTAAGCTACTACAAGGCGAACAATCTTGAACCTAAGAAAAAAAATTAAGATATGTGAGACCCAAATATACTGGTAATGCTTTTAAAAAATAGGATAACGTTTATCATATCTTAAAGTATTCATAATTGTACTACAATACCTTATTCCAAATGTACCATACTCGGCGATTAATTCCAATACCCGTACCAGCTGCAATCGTAAAGCATCACGACGTCTACGACGTCTCATATTTTCTTGTTTTCGGTCAACAGCTTCACGAATGTAAGGAACTAATTCTTCCATAAGATCTCTGAAAGAAAAAAAAAAAATGTATAATTGAAAATAAAATTTATGAAACGTATTTTAGAAGAATAATCGATTTCTAATTTAAGAAGACAATTCTTAAAAATTTAATTGCCGTCATAATTTTCTAATTATTAATGATAAAAAATACTACTTACTTCAATGCTTCAGCATTGACTTTTCCCAGAGCTCCAGCTGCTGCATCTCGCACATCAGCTGCTTCGCATCGTAAAAGTGGAACCGTCAATTTATACAGAGCTGCCGGAGCAGGACCGGCTGGTGCACCAGGCGACTTACTGTCACCTCTTTCTGCACTCAAAGAATCTGGTGACGAACTGTGGGGAAGTAAAAATATAACCGAATGCTTAATTGATCAATTAACAATAACATTTTAGGGATATTTCCAACGTTAACTCGCGACTTCATAGTCATAATTTTTTTATAACAGTATTCAATGTTCATTAATGTGTGAATGTGAATATAGATTTTATATCATTATTTTATTTTATATAGGTGTATAAGTATATAAGTATAAAGTCATTGTATTTCGCATAGAGAAAGACATAATCAAGTTTTTCAAGCATCCATCAGCATAGCTGAAATAAATTTAGATCTTTTAGTTGTGATTACAAACATTATTTTATACATTAATTTCCAATTCAAAATACCAAAACTATACCATAACTGCTCAGTTCATAAAAACACGGAGTCTTCATAAATCAAATTTTTATAGAATAAACTTCAATGATATAGGTATTCTAATAATAATATTATTATATTAACTTCCATGCAATATTTCAAATTCTATTATACCCAAGAATTTGCATTACATCATGCTCATGCTTAACAATCACATGCATTATATTAATATAATTTAATAGTCATGCAATACTTAAGTTATGATTGTGATACTTGGAAATTCAGAAACCAAATTTATCTTGCGTTATCAACACTATTTCATTGCGAGACACTATTTCAATTTTCATTGAAAATTAAGAACAATCTTAAAGTTACTTTTCTGCTCCAAGTGCTCTGTGTAGTAATCTTCATCAGCAATAAACATTTTGTATTTACAAATCTTAGTGCCGCTATATATACATACATATTATGTATATTTACAAATTTATATATAGATGTATATAAAAAAATTGGTTGTCAACTAATGAACTATTAACTTATTTCAATGTTCCCTAATGTATTAGTTTGATACATAAGGCGATAAGATTTGTTACATAAAACATAAATATGTATCACAAAATTGCTTAACAGTATCAGTGTGATAGTAACTAATTTATCAGCAAACCCAAAGTTATAAAAACATATATAATGAAATCCAGGTAAAAGCAAGATTTAGGAATCCTGTGTATATTATATTAAAAAAATTCAACAAAAGTTATTCACAATTATTTTAGTTAGTTCTAACTAAAATTTTATATCAAATATTGTGTATCCACATATTTATCCATGAGTACAAAAATAGGTCTTATATCAACATAATTTGTTCGATCCCATTTTTTTTTTATCTAATTAACGTTTTTGTTAAAAAAAAATTAATTCAAATCAAAGTTTCATCACTGCAGTTCATTAAAATAACAAACCTTTTAATTAGTAACTTTTAGATAAATGTTTCATTTCGTTATTAATGAAACCCACACAAAAAGAACAAAAGCTCATTGCAGCACAAAATATTCATATCATGTTCAAAATCATGATGCATGTATGTATATTATATATTTATGATGATTTTGTTTTTATTCTCAAACATAAATTAGTAAAAAAGTAATTTTTTAACAAAATTGAAATAGTTAAGTTGACAACCAACGAACTCAACCAATTTTAAAAACATCCCAAAAGCACAAAGTTTTTATTGACCTGCTATCCTCACACAAAAAACAGTTCGAGATCAAGTGCTAATGGATAATTTTATAAAAATGTTTCCTATGAATAATGAACAAAGCGTGCGATAAAAATCTATATAAGAAATATTATTATTATAATAGTAATAAAATTAATATTAAAACTAGTGGAGTGTATGGCATCGTGCCTTAAGGCAAATTGCTGGAACTTCCCGTACCGTAACGAAATGTTCGAGGAATATTGAATGTTTTCAACTTTTTTTTGTAACATTGTCTAATATTTATAAGAATTATATAAACTGAATTGCAAAGTTGAAATTATTTGTTTAAAGTATATTAGAACTATAGTCAGAATTAAAAATAAAATCTGAATTATTTCGATATACAAAAAAATTTTTTTTGAAAAAAAAAAAAAGTTGAAACAAAAATTTTTTTACAAAATCAATTATTTTCTTAAGACAAGCAGAAAGTTCTTTGAATCATTTAAATCGGACGCTTAGTTCTCTCAAAAACTGCCATTTTTACATATTTAGCTCCGTATCTTCGAAATGGCTGGACCTGCCTTTGCCAAAAACTAATCAGCTCTTCTCCCTATTAATAGGAATCGAATGTTTTTTGAACCATTCAAATTGGTTAATCCGTGCGCCCGAAAACGTGACTCGAAATTTGTATCCGTACATACATACATATATACATACATACATACACACACACACATCCATTTTTTCTGAGGTATGCCAAAATGTTCAGAAACCTTCAAAACGTCGAGAAATGTAAAAAATTTCAATTTAGATTTTCGGCCTATTACAATAACTTACCCTACGGGAAGTTAATTAATAATAAAATTAAGATTGCTTTTATGATAAATATGAAAAAGAAAGCGATAATTTATTATATTATATCTTCATAAAATTTATATCAACACGAAACATTTTTCGTAAATTATCCACTAGCACTATCTCTAAAAGCTCGTGAAAATCCTATCCTTTAGTTTAAAATTGTTTTCTCAAATCGTTTCTTTCTATTTGCTATACCTAGTCCTCTTGTGTTGTTTGTCTCTGCGTCCATACGACAAGGGAAGCGTGAATCTAGCCGCTAATCCTGATTGTAGCGTTGCGGTCACCAGTGGCGGCAGAGGCGGAGTTGGCGGTGTGGGCGCTGCTACCGCCTGGTGAAGGTCTTCCATGGAATCGCTCAGGCGAGTGGAGGCCAATGCGGCGCTGCTATCACAAGAGTCGGTTCCCGATGTGCTATTTGTTTAGGGTTGTATTGCAACAAGGCACAATTGTATTATGTAGTTTGGACATCTCAATTAAGAATATCCAATTTCAATGCGGTTTTATTTTTATTGCATAAATATTTGTAACCAATACTGTTATTCAATTACATGAAAAGAATAGATAGCAAGACACGTGTCGATTGAGTTAAATATTGCACAATGACAAAAGTTGCGATAAGAAGACATTTGTTGTTCCCTGACAATTACAAAATATGGTATATAGATGAAATAAATACGTAGAGGAATACATAGAATATGCAAATTAATACCGTCGTAGGTACATAAAAAATATCAACAGTAAATTTAAAGATGTTAAACACTTGAAATACTTGAGGCACAAGTTGATCAAAAAATCATATTTCTTGAAAAAATTCGCAACTAAATCATCAGAATTTCAACTGGTAGGTTAGAGTGATTAGATTATAAAGAAACTAGTGAAATTCTGAAATTATGATATCGGTTTGCAAATGTTAGAGAATTTGATCAACTGTTCAAAAAGCGTTGAAAGAATGGTTGAAAAATTTCAAAATGTAATTAAATTGCTGGAAAAAGACCAGAGGAAAAGACCTATGGTGTTAGAGAAGAATCAATCGCTAAAAAACAAGAATTGTTCTGAGTTCATCTGTGAATCCAAAGAAAACCCGAATTCGATACTACTTATTTCAAAACTAGTTCCAACTACTACTGCTTTCTGCATAAAAGGACGAATAAATAATGGCAATGGGCTATTAAATCAAGGAAACGATCAGCAATTAGATAAAACATGATAACATTATTCTAAAATGCTTACATTAGATATTATTATATTCGCTATCAATAACGCACATATTTATGTACGGTTAAGCTTACATTAACAATAAACGAGTAAATGATTATGACTGAAATAAATGACTGATTAGCGTCTATCTGATATGATCACTAAAAACATATATCATAATTAATGAATCAAAACACTAGCATAAGCAAATTCGTAGCCTGTCATACAAAAGCTTAGTGTCGACAGAAATATGATAATTACACAAAAAATAAAAACACAATTTAATTTCCAAGTTATCATAATCATAAATGACCTGAATCACATTAAAATATTATTATTCTTAATCAAATTAAATTAATACAAACCACACAAAAAATTGTGACATTCATAAATTAGTAGAATTTAAGTAATATTAAATACTATTGTAATAAACATCAAAATTTCAAACCATGCAAGTTTTTTTATTCTTATGGTATAATAATAATAAAACATACTCAGTATCAAGTTCCATACTGATTAAAACTAAGCAGCGCCAAAATTATTAATAAGTTATTTTTAATTTGTATACTGGATTTTATTATCTGATACCTGCCTGGGTAAAAAAATGCATAATTCTCAATTTGAATGAATAGTAAATTATAATAGAATTTGTTATAGTCTGCGATGTTACGCAGAAAAAATTGCAACATTTGATTAAATAAGCAAATTAAAGCATGCAATCACAATGCAATAATAAAGCTAAATGTTAATTTCATGAAAAAATATGTGGTTTAATAGATTATTGATTTAATTAGTTTAAAAATTAGTTATGACACCATGTTTAAAATTTAATGCTTCGGAAGGGAAGCGTATGATAAAATAAGAGCGTAATATATAAAATAATATATGATATGGATAAGATGAAGTCGAAAAATATTTGATTACAAACAGATAAGTTCTATGAATTAAATAAAGTATTTTCATTAAACTGATTATACCTGA